AGGAAGCCCTGGAGACCAACACAGTTATCGGCGACGCGGCGGACCTTGTCCAGGACCTGGTCAATCAGCTCCTTGCCAACGGTGTAGTGGCCACGGGCATAGTTGTTCGAGGCGTCCTCCTTGCCGGTAATCATCTGCTCGGGGTGGAAAAGGCCGCGGTAGGCGCCGGTGCGGACCTCATCGACAACGTTGGGCTCGAGATCGCAGTAGATGGCGCGAGGGACATACTTGCCCTGACCTACATGGGAGGAAATACGTTAGTGACTCCCGTACCGTTGTCAGAGATCGGTGAGCCAGCGCGTACCAGTCTCAGAGAAGAAGGTGCTGAAGCCGTGATCAGGGTCAGCGGCCTTGCGCTCCTCGGTCAGGAAACCATCAGGCTGTATCACACGAGAAAGCATCAGTATACACGCCCTGATGATGGGGGTGGGGGGGTTCCGCTGAACAGGAGGGCGGGCAACAATAAACATACCTGAATGCCGTGCTCGAGGCAGTAGAGCTGCAGAGTCGCTCGGTTAGCGATCTGGGTGCTCCTCCATCCATATAGACCGGTCGTGCCATGTGGTTCTGGCGGGGTGTGGGTTGAGAGCGACGCGTGCTCTCAGACAGTACATACCTCCCAGCACGAGTTGGCAATCTGGCAACCGGCCTGTCCGACTGTGTGGAGGGGCACGTCAGTACGTATTCCTCAAAGATCCCATAGTCCGAGGCGGCTGCCGAAAGGGTCCCACGAAGGGGAAGCCCAGAAAAACGCGTAGTGCGTGTGGATGGTAGGAGGGGTCGGGCGTACCGTTGATGCTGATGACTTCACGCATGATGGGCAGTTTCGGTGAGAGCAAAGGGGGTTCGGGTGTATGCGGGTTTCGATTGGCAAGCTGGCGAGTTGGCACTCCAAGGAAGCACAGACAGGAAAGGATAGCAACAGCTCCAAAGATGTGTCGTCGGCCGTAGTCTTGAGAACGACTCCGGGCAAAAAAGGAATCGTCGGTAAGGTCAGATAGGGACGAGGTTGAGGTAGGTTGGGACGAGTGAAGGACGGCAAGACCTGGACGGGGAAAGGTCGAGTCGGGCAGGGGAGGTGGGGGAAATTTGACCGCGACAGGGGTCCGTGCAGGAGTTTTTGTTGATGGTGCTGCCTTAATTGGTAAGCGCGTCTGTGCTGGGGTCCTGGATTGGACGGTCCCCGCCAGCGCGCCGTGTTGTCCTCCCGCGCCAGTCAACCCTCGCATTGGTTCGAGCAGCATTTCACCGCTATTCACACTCGGCAGTGCGGGAATCCAAACAAAAAAGGTGCCCATCGCATCAACCATGTGGTCTGTTAAACACCTCACGTTTCCGCTGGCCCTGTTGATGGCCGCAGTGTGTGAAGGCAACACGGAGAAGTCCATATTCCTCGCCCCGGCAACAGTCAACATCCCAGCTCACCAGCCCACGCTGGAGGTCCTGGGCCTGGACGTCCTCACCCCTACCAGGACATCCATAAGGTCGCATCTGAATGCTTCATTCCCCAACGCCGGTTCGGCCGTTGGCTTGGCCACGTGGTTCTTGCTAGACGACCTTAGACCCTCACAACGCTACGAGTTGCGCGTGTGCTGGGCCGCCACGGTTTGTCACAGATGCCTTTTCTTCTCGTGAGACCTGTTGTTGGACTAACCAGTGGCCCAATCTACGAAGCAACCAACCAACTTCATCTTGGACGTGTACCCCTTGGAAGAGGTTTGGGAAACCCCCGATCTGATCACCTCGCTCGCAAGCTACGTGGAATCTCGCGCGAGTCTCGGGACCACCCAACCAATGGACGCAAGTTCAACTGCTACAGGCGGTAAAGCGCACGGTCGTGGCCGAACGACGTCTGATTCTGAGGCATCCGCAATGTTGCTGCGCGTGCTGGCCGCCGCTGATTACTATTCACACGATGCCGCCGTCATGACTCACGTCGATCCTGTCTTGGTGGACATCATCCTCGATCCGTATCTCCTTAATGTTGTGCCGCAATCACTCGCGCCAACCGTTGTGTACATAACTCTTGTTGCAGGTCTGGCTTGGGCGCTTGCTCAGCGTATTCGCAACCACTTGCTGGTGTTGACCAGCTCGCCAGGGCAGGCCTTGAAGAAGGACATGTAGCGAATGAAGGGCATCATCAGTCCCAGCTGAGGATGAGCGAAGCCGGTTTGTTGTGGTTCTGTTCTATTGCAGTTCAAGCGCAAATAACATTTATAAACAAGTCGTTATGTAATTCATGATACAATATCCAGTCTGCTTGCGAACTAAAAACAAATCTGAACGACTTGTCAGCTGTCAAAAGGTAGGTCGTTCTCAATCTGCCCGCGGGCAAAGAAATTCCCGAATCACAGAGTAAGGGCTTGCATCAGCCCTGAACTGGCAGCGTGGATCTCAACCATACTTTTCGGCTGGAAAAAAAAAAAAGAGCTGTCAGTATTGGGAGCCGTAACCGTGGCCTTGCTGATTCGAGCCCTGTGAGTAGGTCGGGTTGTTGCCGGGGTAGGCACCAGGTGCGTTGCCGCCGTTTCCATACGAAGCCTCATAGGCACCATTGCTGGTGTGGCCGTATTGTGGTTGTTGTTGTTGATGATGATGATGACCGCCTTGTGATGGGGCATCATATCCGCCGCTCTGTCCGTAGGCGCCCGGGGGCTTTCCGGGAGGCGGCCCGGGAACCTGTCCGTACGTGGGGTGTGTCTGATGCGCCGAGGTCTGACTCCCGTTTTGACCTGGGGGGGAAGGAAACGAGGGGTTTGGGGCATGGTTGGGCGTCGTTGTCTGATAGGAAGATGATCCGGGCGCATTTGCACCACCACCGGGTGGTTGGTACGACGTCGGAGGGGCTTGGCCTGAGTAGCCGCCTGAGGCGCTGCCTGAGTTGGAATATCCGTAGTTGCTGTTCTGGAGAGGAGGTGGCATGTAAGCTGCATGTCCTAGATTGCAAAGATTTGGAGAGAACGTACCCCGTGCGATGGCTTGTTTCCACCGAGCATACTCGCAACACCGCCCATTAACGAACCAGCTAGGCCATGCTGCTGCTGCTGCTGCTGCGGCTGGTGACCCGTAGTCTGACCGCTGTGGTACGATTGCGGCTGCTCAGGCTTATCACCTGAATGTAGGAAGCTGTTCGCCAGCGCACCGCCGAGTTTGCCAAGTGCATTCTTGCCTGCCCCTCCACCGCCGTGTCCCCCACCCCCCAAGAACTGGTTTGCGAGATTGCCGAAAGGATTCGAGCCGGAGCCGCCGTGGTTGCCGTTCGCATTGTGATTGCTCGAGTCTTTCCCACCCAGCAGGGCGTTCATGGCCATGCTCTGTTTGCGCGCAAGGCGAGATCAGTCCTTGTGCCGTGTGGCGCAATCCTAGGAGGTGAAGAGAGCACGACTTACACCAAGGCCGCGGTCGCCAGTCTGTCCGCCAATGCCGCGCGTGCCGTCTGGCGGCATGGGGGGGTTTACCGGCTCCATGGAACCATCGACGTGCCGGACGGTCTGGCTGCCGTCTGGATGTGTGATAAGTTCCTGCTGCCGCGGGATGCCGTAGGGATGCTCGACACCAGGTGCTGGTGTGCCTGTGGGCGCAGCATCCGTCGGCGTGTCCCACTGCGAAACGCCGGTGGACAGCTGAACGAAGTAGTACTTCTTGCTCGCGCCGTCCCACTGCGCGATCCAACCTGGTGGAAGTTGAGGAGGGCCAAACGTGGGGCCTTCGGCGCCCGGCGAGGTAGGCCCAGCCATCGGGGAGGGGAGACGTACTCCGAGGGGTAGAGGTATCGAGTGCGTCGAGAGCGACAACGCGCATACAATGTTGCGTGGTTTAGGTGTTCGGCGGAGGACGTGGTCGTAGTACCACGACGTGGTTTGTTCGAGGTATCACTGGTAGCGGGAGGTGACGGAGGGGGGCCAGTAGACGATATAGGCGTTGGTCACTTAACAGGGCCGTTGCCAGCCAGACTTTTGAGGGGCCATTCGGTGCCGTCTGGAACGTTCACTCTCCTAGGTATGAAAGTAAAGGGTATTTCCTGACATGCGTCACCCAGGTCCCCGTGTGGAATTTCCGTTTGGTGGCATTTCCGTATTCAGTACTACCTGATTCTCAATTATATGCTTAGGTGGCTTACCTATCTACTGGAGTGATAGCACAAGGGCGGTCGGGTATTTCTCGTCATGAGCAATGCTTAAGTTCATAGCGGGTCGCCCCCAAAAGCGGTTGACAAAAAGAAAACCGCGTGGCAATTCCACTACCAATTCCATCACGATTCACCATGTATACACTAGAGAAAGACAGTAATTCTAGCTATAGCTAGGGAGCGCCTAAAAGATACTTATAAAGTAAAGTATACCCAAGGCATAGCGTACAGGCTGTAGCAGAGCTTGAAAACCTAGGTAGCTATAGAGGCCTAGGTAAATCTCTAAGTAGGGATATTTAAATCTTGTCAATCTCTCATTCAAGTTGATTTTACAGAGGATGCGAGATGTAATAGGGATAGACGGCAGGATAACTACGTAGTAGAGATAGAGAAGTACTTCTATTTATATTCTGGTTCCTAGCTATCATAAGCACCTGTCTTTTTCCCATGCTGCTTTTTTGTCAACCCCTTTTGTCAACCCCTTGCGCCACCTCGCCCCCCTGACTGACTTCAAGGCCCAACCCAGCCTAAAAGTGGCGTCGGGATAGAACTTGGCACTGTACCTAGGTACCTTCGAGGCGGTTCAGGAGGCAGCCTGTCGAGGGGGTTTGGCTTGCTAGGAGTGGCTGTGCAACCGGCAACAAGGGCAAGTTGACGTACTCGCTGTTCCTGACCTGAAAGCAACCAACAATGCAATGCATCTTCATTCACCGAAAGGCAGTCTCTTTCATCGTCTGTTTTGAGCCTCTACACAGCCTGCCGCGCCATATGCTAGGATAACAAACGAGCGCGTTCCCAGGAAACATAGCCCATTAGGCAAGCACAACTCAGCTCATCACATTTCACGTAGCTGCCAGGAGAAAAATGATAACGGGAAGATAATCCCAATTTGGTTTGCCAAGGGCACAACTACTCTAGACTGATGCAAATGTAGCAAATCAAACGCCCAAAAACTCCATCCACGTGCTGGTGCCTGACCTTGTCATGGTTGATCAATATGTACGCCAATCGCTGCTGTTCCTGCAAAGTCACCGGTAGAGGAAGGCTGTATACGGTGGAAGAGGTATGTCGAGAAAGGGAAGTCAAGCCTTAAGCGAGATAGCGGGGAGAGACGAAGCGACGGACTCGGCTACCGGTCCTGAACATGACGAGGGCTTCGCTGATGCCCGTCTCGCAGGACGTGCCAGGCGCCATCTGCATCAAGACGGACCAGAGGCCAGAAGCACATCGCTGGAACTGGCTGCCTCCTACACAGTTCCACTGTCCCTCGTTGGCGCAAGCGGCGCCTGGCTTCTGAACTCCAGCGTTGGTTCCGTTGCCGGCACCCGATCCGGGGGTCGAGGTGGGCTTAGGAGCACTACCCGTGCCGGCCGTGGTCGTGACAGTTGCCAAGGTGGTAGGCTTTGCCGGAGGAGGAGCGTTTCCAGTCTCCGCGGGAGGGGTGACAACGGTCTCCTCTGGTGCCTCGGGGCTGGGCTGAGGGATGAAGACGCCACCAGGGCTATCCGATGTCAGTAAGTGGTCAGGAACAGTAGGCATAGAGGATACATACAGTGTGGTCGAAGTGGTGACGGGGCCAGATCCAGGCTGCTCGGGTGTGGTGGCGGGGGTCGTAGGCACAGGGTTTGCGCCAGTCTTGGACGGAGAGCTCGCGGGAGGGGCACCGTCGCCAGGGTTCGGGGCGTTGCCCTGGTCAGGAGATGCGCCGGTATCGCCGCCGCCGCCGCCAGCAGCGCTACCACAGCTTCCCACAGGCGGCGCAGTCTTGCTGTTGGCCTTGGCAACGCTGGCGCCCGGGTTCGGGAACTCAACGTCAGAGCCTTCCGTGGTGGAGCAGCCGTTTCCGACATTGGCGACGAGGATGTCAGGGCGGCTGTTGAACGAGGTGGCCTGGCGCTTAGCACTACCGCCAGCCTTCGTGGAGACGACAGCACAGTTCATGTACATCTCGCGGTTGCCAACCTGGTTGAACCAGGTCCAGGCGAACAGCGCGTCATCGGCAGCCGGGGTGTCGTCGGGCAGAGTGAAGTCGTAAGTTGAGGTGCCGGCGGGAGGGCAGCCGCCGACATAGCTCTTGACGACCTTGAACGTCTTGCCGCCGTCGAAGGAGAGGGAGGCCTGGCAGCTGCCGCCGTTGTGGTTGGCACCACCCTCGATGGTCAAGTTGTAGGTCTGACCAGCCTGCCAGCTCGCCACGGGAGCGGCGGCGGCAGTGCCGAGGAGGCCCAGAGTACCCTTGCAAGGATAGTCGCTGCCCGAGGCGCTCAGAGGCGTGGTCATGCTGTAGTCGATGTCGCTTCCGGCGAAGGGGTTCTTCTTGGACCGGAGCGGGGGAGGCCAAGACATCTCCATGTGGGCGGAGACCGAGTCGAAGGTAAGAGCGGCCAAGAAGGCAGCGTATAGAGAGGGGGTATACATGATGTGCGTGTGTGTTTTGCGTTTCTTCACTTTCTTGTTTGGTGTGTTTATGTTGTGTGCTTTGCTGTCTGTCTGCTGTGTGTCTCGGGGGAGCAGAGTTGAAGGAAGGACTGAATGTGCAGTGTGTTATATACGTGTCGTCCTATAAGTTGAGCCGGCTCGTGGAACGTGGTGACTGTGTGGAATCGAAACAACAGACAAGACTATTGTTCTTGAACGTAGAGGCTGGGCTGGGCTGGCTAGCTGGCAGCGAACAGTACACCTTCCAGAGGTGCTTGCTTTGGTATGCGATGAGGTCAGGCAGTAGCAAGAACCTTGAGGCCTTGTGAGGAAAAAGACTGGAAGGACGAATGTTCCAGAGTGGGCGATATGAAAAGAATCAGAAAGGCTGGGAGAAGGAGTGACCCGAGCCTGGTATGAAGGTGTGGATTTGCAAAGAAAACCAGCACTTCGAGGTGTGAAGTGAATACAAGGCACAATGGAAGGAGGCAAAGGAAGGAATGGAACAGTGAAGCAGTGCAGAACCAGGCGTCGTTGAAATTCCAGTGCGAGGCCAGGCCCCCTTTATTGTTTTGCTGCCTCCCACGAGTCCTGTCACAAGCCCAGAGTGGGGGACGCAGAGGGATGCGGCGAGGGCAGGCGCGGCCAGGGCAGGCGCGGCCAGGCGAGCGGGCTCAGCTTGGCAAGGAAGGACCCCTTTACCTCCTCGCTCCTTCCCATCCCCTCAAGCCTCAAGCCCCTCTCTCTACCGGCCTCCGCTATGATGCGATGCGATGCCGTGCGATACGATGCGACCCAACCCCCGGGGCAGGCGGCAGGCGGCAGCAGTGTAGGGCGGCAGGATGAGCGCGGCAGCGGCACGAACGACGGAGAGGCCATCACTCGCACCCTGCATGCACATCGAATCGCCCATCCCATCATATCTGTGATGATGCGACAGAGACAGGGCCAGGGCCACATGTCGGTCTGCTGATCGGTCCGTTACTGGATGCTGTTTGCTTGTTCGTCCAAAGAACCACGATATCCATGCCGCGCTCCGCTTTCTCCTGATGCATGTCCATGCTTCTTCACCTTCTTCTTCCGCTCTCTGGTGACCAGGTGCCCAAATCACCTCGTCGCAGTCACAAACAGATGTCGTGACCCCATGCATCCCCCTCCGCCACGGCAGAAAAATAAAAGACGAGTCGCTAGAAATGGAAGCTGTCGTCGAGGCTGGACCGCGCCAGGCGAAAGCAGAGAGAGAGAAAGAGAGGATGGGTGGGGCGAGACAGCACTGCACTGGAATTGTGGGATGCCTAACTCACGAATGACATGGCACCACCAGGCATTCGCGCCAACTTCTGAGGCACACGAGTGACCACAGGGGCTGCTGCCTCAGGGGGAACACAGCGCTACCAGCCAATCGATGGGCTTTCGTGCCTGGTGGGATCGACGCCCCCTCGAACCCCTGGCACCGCGATGCACAGCGATGCACAGCGACTGGATTCGTCCATTCCAGTCGCTGGTGGCCCAAGTGCCGATGAAACGTCGATCCTCCGAAGTGGTAGCCGCCATGCTGGGCCCCTGCTGCCCCACCGCGTGCCGCGCCCTTGACTAAACGACACAGCACAGCAGCCTACCAGCCCAGCGCAACCGAGCATGCCTCTCACATTGTCGACGCAAGCCTCGATGATGTACCTTGCCACCATGCGGATCGTGGCCTGACTTCACGCTTCCTCACGGCTCTGTCGCTGGCCCTGTCCTGGACAGGGTACCCGTTGAGGCGCGCCGCCTTCCACAGGCATTGACTCTGCGTAGGCAGCGGCCTCTCTCTCTCTCTCTCTCTCTCTCTCTTAGTCTCTCGCCTCGCAGTCGACCTTGATCTTCGTGCTCCAGGTGCATCATGGCAGAAGAAACATCGATCCCATTACCTCGTCGTCCTATACTTCACCATATTTCCTACTTTCAATCAGTCACAACTTCCAGCCCGTTGATCCTGCAGCAGGCACTGTGCTTTTTTTGAGGGGAAGGGGGAGGTGGGGGAGCCAAGTCCAATGTTAATCTTCTACCCAGTGCTCATTAACACACGAGGTTTGAGGCCTGAATCCTGCATCCCTGGTGAGGGACATCGGCGTGCGATGTGGCCGAGTCCCGAGGCCTTCGTCAGTACGTGGGGCCCGAGCACTCAAACTCCAAAACGCGCCATCACAGGTGGCGTCCAGCATGTGTCAACGCCACTCACAAATACACTCACACACCTGCATCCCGTGTCTTGTTACGTCGTGAATCTCGGATTCAAGGAACCACATAGGTGCCATGGTGTGTGCCATCATGGCTGCAAGCAGGCAAAGAAACTGCATCTTGATTTCTACTCCACGACGCACGCGCTGCTCTGCATGTTGTATTGCCACCTCGCCTACCTCGCCCACCTGCCACTTTCCACCCTCCGACTACTAGTCAGTCAACCTCATCCTACCCCACGACGAGCTTGCTGTATCCCGGTATGCTGCCTGCTGTGCCAAGAGTGCTCTCGGGAAATTACATGCAGCCTAGAACCACCTCCCATGTCGTCGTCGGCTGCCCCGCAGTCAAGTGCCAACGGGCGGGTTACTTGGCCTCGGCAGGCCCTTCAGAAGCCCGCGTTTGGGGGTTCGCTGCCGTGCCGTGGCCTTGCGGGTGACCATGAGCTCCATTGTTGCCCAGATTCTTGCCGCTGCCGTAGTTGTTTCCGGCACGATGCTGAGCCCCATATGCGTGCATTTGCTGTGGGCTTGTACCAAAGTGCTGCGGCCCAGAATTGTTATATCCGCGTGAATTTCCGCCTGGTCGAAGACATATAGATTAGCAACCCGTCAAGCCTCGGCCTCGACCTCATCTCAGGGGTTGAGCAAGTGGCGCGACCATCTCAGGGGAGTGTCCCTTACCTTGAAGGCCGGGCTGTTGCGGCGCGAAGACAGGCTGCTGGTAGGGAACGCTTGGACTCATCCCGTACACTGTCTGGCCCTGCTGCGATCCTTGGTGCGCCATCATGGGCGCAGCAGGCCGTCCGGGGCTGGAATATCCGTTCGACCCTGGGTGAGGTGGGGGCCCACCATTAGGGGGCGGGAATTGGGCGTGTCCCCCGTACATTTGCATCGGTTGCCCAGGCAGCATTCCTTGCGGACTCATAAACTGCGGCTGCATGATCATAGGGCCACCCATGTGTCCGGGTTGCTGCTGCAGGTACTGGTGGGTGTTGGAAAAGCTTCGATACTGGTTCATCTGCGGCGTACCGGGCCCGCCGTATGGCTGCATCATCGGCTGCGAGTACGGGACTTGAGCGGGCGAATTGACTGCCGGTGTGTATGTGATAGGGACATGGCTCATCCGGGGGCTGGCAAAGGACTGCGCAGAGTTCGAGTGCATCATCCGGTGATCGTCGACGCCATTCGTGTAAGCTCCATGAGGGGCAGGCACATGTTGGTTATGGAGTGGCATTGTAGGCATGTTTGGCGACTGGCGAGGAGCCGTGCCATGTGCATTTTGCTGCATATGCAGCGGCAACTGATAGTGGTGAGCATTATTGGAGGTGACATGTGGAGGCGTTGGTGTAGTCATGGAAGGAGCCGCAAACGACTGCTGTTCCAGGAATTCTTTGTAGGTCAGGCGCATTGTCGATTCCGGCTTCTCGTCCTCCTCCTGGAGTTGACGCCACGTTGGTATCGTATCATACGAGGGCCTGAGACCTTCGTTATCATCCCAATTACGCACTTTAGGTGGGGTGAAGGTCTTGATGTGGGCAAGGATGAAGCACTTCTGAACATCAATGGCCTTCGTCTTGCGGCGTATCAATTGACCAGCGGGCGCGGGACCAGCGGCGGTGTCAACCGTGGTCGTGTTCACAGCCGCACCCGAGCGAGGGCTCGATCCGGCGCTTGGGTGACTACTAATGGGGTTGAACGAGGTGGCAAACGGGTTGGGCCGGAACTCGTGGCTGTTCGGGTTCAGCTTTGGGCCCATGTGGCCGGGGACCCCACTCAATCGTCGGCCGAAAGAAGAATCTCCAGCGCTGTTGGATGGGCCCGTAGGCGGAACCCGAACCTCTGGGGTCACCGGCTGCTGATGAGGCGGAGCCTGCGACATCTTTTGCTGCTCTGTGTTTCGAAGCCTCTGTCCCAGAGACTGGCGGGCTTGCTGGTTAACGTGTTGGCCTTGACGATCATTGCGGTAAGACTGGTTGTGGTGAGATGGCGGCGCATACGACTGACGCGCATTTGCGTTGCGCACAGAGGGTCCTGAGCCGGGAGAGTTGGCGTACTGCGAGGTTAATGGACGGCTTCCCGCACGTCCATCAGGAGTGCTCTGTGTAGCACTAGCTGCGGCAGTGGATTTGTTGGATACATCCTTGGCATCCTTGTCCTTAGAAGCAGACTCGACCGTCTTCGTCCGTGCCACGTCCTCCGCATTTTGAAGAGCCTTGGCTTGTATTTCCTTCTGCTTGCTGGGGTCCTTCGCGATGATAGAAATCAGGTCGGTAGGCACAGGGGTCGACAGCTTAAAGCCTTGAGCAAACTTCTTCAACTCTGTCAACTTGACTTCTTTGTCAGCCTTAGCCTTGCTCGTACGAATCTTGTCGGCGTTCTGTCGCTGTTGGGTAGCAAAAGACTTGAACGAATTGAGAACATCTCGTTCAACTGTCAGAGCAGCGCTTGGCGTGCCCTCCTTTGCCGCCGTTTGAGGTGATTTGGCACGGCTACTCGTAGATGGTGCACGAAGAGGCGTGGTCGTCTTGTCTGCTTGCTTGACTTCAGTTTGCTTCGCAGTGTCGGCGGCCGCCGCCGGAGGGCTGTCAGCCCTTGCTGGCTTGGGAGCCTCGCCCTTCGGCGAAGATTTGATAGCCGCCTTGGAATCAACAGGCTTCGACTCATCGGCTGGCTGTGTCATCGGTAGCTTCCCAGGTACCGGTTGGCTCTTCGCATCCTCTGGCCTAGCAGGGGATGGTTTCTTGCTAGGAGCGCGAACTTGTGACGAGATGATGGCAGGGTCGACAGGGGCACCTGTGACAGTTGACTGCGCTGCTGGAGCTCGCTTCGCTGGCGGCGTGTACTTGTTTTCACGGGTCGAGAGCGGAGGGAAGTCCTGCCGTCTAACGCCACTATACCTGATTTTGATGTTAAGTGGTGAGAGATAACATGTGCTTCAATGGTCAACTTACTTGTCCTCTTCGTCACCACCGCGATCATCGCCGCCTGCGTAGTCCATGATGCGCTCTTCAGCTACATGTGCAGTGGCAGCTTGGCTCCCCGAAATTTCTCTAGCCTTCTTTTCTGCCGCTGCCATCCGCTCGCGGTATTGGGGGTGGCTCTTGTCGATAGCGGTAGTGTAAATATTCTCGTCGTAGTCGGTCTTGATACCGAAACGTCGTTCATTCTCTGCGAATTGGTCCCAAGGCGCGTTGTTCTTGTTGCTCGAGCTTTCGAGACCTTCATCCATACCGTCCGTAGAGTCGGGCATCCATGGTTGCAATGTCCGCTCGGCGCCGAGTCTGCTGTTGGAGATGGCTGCGTCGGTCCTGAATCCTCCTCTGGAACCTAAATATGAATCATGGTTAGACTTGTCAAGTAGCAGCTGACTATTGCGCTCACCATTTTGACCCCTGCCTGGGCCGGCGCTATTGTCTTTTTTGGGGAAGGGCATATTGTATGCTTATCCTGTTGCAGGCTTCTACTGCGAAGATGCGTGCCAGGTGGTTGTACAGCCTCCGGTACCACTTTGTAACGGTATCGCTAGCAGCGGACAAGACAATGTCACTGCAGCCTGCAATTTGAGTCCAACAAGCCTACCAGCATCCCAGGTCAGTCAAACTGTTGCGAGGCTTGGTTGTCTATTGTATACCGATTCTTTCGAATGGGAACCAAAGCATTTCCATGGGTCAAAATTTGGGATAAGGAAATGTATCACGGGCGTGGCGCTCTTCTAGTCACTGACCTCGAGTACCCGAGTTTCCCCTCCTGTGGCTGCAAGGGCAGAACACACAAGGTCTTGAAGAATCGATGCGAATGGGGAAGTCGCAGTCGGTTCAGCGATGGCAAACCGCCTGTAATGTCGATCGCCAACGGGCTTTTTGATGTCGGTTTGCCCTATGAAGAAATGAAATTAGCATGTTTGCGGTTTGTAGGCTGTATGTGATAAGGGGAGGGCTGAAGCTCGAAACCACAGGGGTATCAGAGAAGCATGCTCGTTCAAAATCAGTCCAATTGTGTCGTACGCAGAAGACGTACCCTTGGAGTCTGTTGTAGAATGAAATGCTCGGCTGTGTTCGAATGAAGGAGACCAAGGCCGGCTTGGGATATCTAACCGGCCAAGAATGCTACCCAGAGATCCAGTGTCAACGATGCCGCCGGGAGCTGGCTTGGTGGTATCTGGGTGAGGGCGGTGTGCAAAACGTACCAAGTCGCGGAGAGTGCGAGATGGGGTTGTAAAAGGAGGTCCTGATTGAATGGCAGCGTACCAGGCCAAGGCGAAGGAAGGGCCGGCGTTGGGAAGGTTGGGGATGAGGCTTTGTTTTCGGTGTGTCCTGGAGACAGATGAGGCGATGCTCCAAGGTGGCACCTTCCCTGCGAAAAGGTACTTGCGGACCTACTTGCTACTGGTGGAGGAAGGTACCTACTCAGTGGCCAACCTTAGTGTGGAAGCTTGAGTCTCGGACCTCCCAAGGTTGCTGAGGGACCTTCCCTTAGAAGGGCGCACACCGTACGTACCCCACTAGCACACCTTCTGTACCCTGCCTGGTCCATTGTGGCTTATCAACACGCGACAATACATCGTTAATGGTTAGCCATTAAGTCCCACACCCCCAACTCCGCGCACCAATTCTACCCACTTTCAACACCCGAAAATCGGCCCCCCCAATAGCACGTATATCGCGATATCTTACCCACCCCTCGTCTGATAGTTACGCTGACTATATCATCAGATTCAGAATGAAGAGATACACTGAGGAAGACGTTTCAAACGCGCTTCAGGCCATTATTGATGGCTGCTCGACGCGCAAGGCCTCGCGTGACTGGAATATTCCCGCCACAACGCTTCGAGGGAGACTCAAGGGCGCAACAACGATCCGTGAGGCAAAGGCTCCCTATCAGAGGCTGAGTCAGGCTCAGGAACAGCACCTAGCCCGTTGGATTATTGAACAAGGCGCCCTAGGGTTCGCCCCTTCACACTCTCAAGTCCTCGACTTCGCACGCCGGATCCTCCTCGCTCAAGGGGACGATATTCCCCTTGGGAGGCATTGGATAGAAGGCTTCAAGCAGCGATCCCTCTATTACGACCCTCCCAGGCAAGCGAATAGAAGCCAGCCGCATTAAGGGCGTCACCACTCAACGGCTTAAGGATTTCTTCCTTCTATTCAACGCCCCTAACGTCAAGGCCATCCCTCCGTGCCTACGATTCAACATGGACGGGACGAGTATCATGGAGGGTATGGGAATCAACGGCCTCGTTCTAGGCCAGGCAGGGCGTCGGAAATGCTATATACAGACGGCCGATTCACGCTTCTGGACCACCATTATTGAGTGCGTATCTGTCTGGCTAGGTGGATAAGAGTTGTTGTAACTGGCTTAGTTTGTCGCCCAACGCGCCCCCAGGGCTACGTTTTATAGTCCTTGCTGACTAACTGAATCAGAGTGGTCCCTTCCTCCACCCCCCCACCAACGTCGTTAAAACAGATAACAGCTCAGATACCAATGTGGGCAAGGGGCACACTTGGATCGTCGCATTTTAGCCACACCTTCACCATTGCACACACTAGCAACGGCTCGTTCCATTGATGCTTATTCGTGAGTAGGCGAGCCTCTATTCAAGATCCAGGCCACAAGCGGTGCCCAGACAGATAGAGAGCCCAAGGGGTATCTGGAACACCACCAAGCCTTTGTTAGTGAGAGTGTCATTTTTACTTGCAAACTCGCATGCATTAGCGACAAGAACCACTCACAGCCAAAAAGAACAAGTTAAAAATCTCGGCTTTTAAGGTTACCTGTGTAAAGACACCCCCAACAAGTCGATGTCATGGATGTCAGTACTTTCATCAGAGCACAGCACTACAGGTGCCTCACATACCAATTCTCTGAGCACGAAAGCAGTCTACATTGCGATGAAGGGTCACTTCTCGGGCGCAAAGCTATTGCCGTGGATGGGTGTGGTGTTATGGGAACAAAATGATGGGATCAGACTCGGAATACTAGCTAACACTTCTACCCTGTATTTCCACAAAGCACGGCTCGTCCTGCTCGAGTGACTGTTGATACACGGTTGCTCCAACGCTCTATACTCGGAGACCAAGCTCCTCGGCGTAAGGAAGCACATACAGGTCTCCAACACTAGCGACAGTGGCCTTGCCGTCGAGGATGGTCTTGGTTGCCTTGAGATTGCAAGTCAGTATTCAGTCACGAACAATGCATTTTTGATAGAGATCCACTTACTGTCTTCAACTTCTCTGCTGTCACGGACTCAATGGGCTTGATAATGTCAGCAATGTTGACGGGCTTACCGGCCTGGGCGAGGCCGGATCCAGCCAGCAGGAGGCTAGCATTGCGGCCCTCGCTCGCCTCCAGAGCATCGAACCTGGCCTTAGCGATAGCCTTGGCCAGGTCCTCCTTGCTGACGGAACCCTCAGAAACGCTCTTGATCGCCTTGACAGCCTCCTCGGCGGCCTTGCGGACGGCAGCAGCGGGTCCAGAGATTTGAATGGTCAGGAGACCGGCGTCGGAGTAGCCGAGGTTGGTCGTGGCGAGCTTCAGGCCAGGGCTGGTGCCGACGGCCTTGGAGAGCAGGCTGAAGCCGGAAGTCCACTTGATGTTAGACTGGCCTCCGAGGAGAGCAGCCAGGACGGCCAGTTCGGGAGACTTGGATCCGTAGTTGGAGCCGGGGAATGCGATGACCACGGCATTGCCTGCGGTGTGCGCTGAACGCGACTCGCCGCCGTGGTACTTGGTGGCAGTTGTGTTCAGAGCCAGCTTGCCGGAGGACGCAGTAGGAGCAGACTTGAAGAACTGCTCAGTCCACTTGGCCAGCTCGGCAGTCGAGGCGCCATCAGCGACAACAGCGATGTTGGACTTGGCGTAGGCAGAGTCGGCAAAGTCGGCAATGGCGAACTCGCTGAGATAAGGCTTGGTAGGGGCGCTGGTGGTCAGGTTGAAAGGCGATCCCAGGCCGCGGTGGAAGGCAACGGCGTGAGCGGCATCGAGGGCGAGCCCAGCAGGGTTGGCGCTAGCAGCCTGCTGCTTCTGGCGGAGCGTCTCCTGGACCTCCTCGTGGAATTCGTGCGCTGGTGACAAGGTTTAATGCGAGAGCTGGGCATACATGCGATGGGCCGACTTACTGGTGTACTTGGTCTGGGAGACAACCTCGCCGAGCAGCTCGACGTAGTAAGGGAGGTCGTCGCGGAGGAAGCTTGCCTCGAGAACGAGAGCTTCACGGGTGTGGTACGCAGCCAATTGGCCACCGAGCAGCTCTGACTCGCGAGTGATTCGGAGAGCGGACCGCTTCTGGGTGTTCTGGAAAGAATCAAGAGCCCGGGGTCAGTCTTTGTCGTTGCGAATGGATTGCGAATGGATGCAGAGAGAGGGAGGAGTGGGCTGACCTTAAAGGCGAACGACTCCAGAGCAGCAGCCAGACCAGGAAGAGGCTGGTAGCGAGTACCCGCCTTGGCCACGACGGCGAGCTTAGCTGTAGGACCGTGGGAGTCGCGAGCAGCGAGCTTGACGCCGCTGGCTTCGGAGGGCTCGTAGATGCCGGAGGAGGAGGCAGCGCTGGCAAGACCTCGGCACTGGGCAGGTCGGGCGGCGGCCGACTGGCGAGCCACCTGCTGCGCCGATCGCGCGAGAGACGTTCTGGAGATCATTCTGAGAGCAGCTGCTCGAGATGTGCGATGTCGGTTCGTTACGCCTGTGTCGTGATAGCTAGGTCCGAAGAATGTGCCTCATGGACGACTACAACGACGTCCCGACCAATTTTCGATGGAACGACTTGCCAATGTCCAATCAGAATGGGTCCATTAGCTTGGACCGAGCATGTCACGTGCATCATGCGCCTCAGGCCATAAAATGCGAGGCCAAAGCCGAATTGGAATGCATTGGGCCTTAGACTGTCTTTCTGCATAACTCATGCATTTCTGGTTATAGTGCACTGGACACCTGATTAGATAAAGCTGATCCACTTCTTCCTGCTCCAGCACTGACCCGCATCGCCTTGTGCCCCGCCACGGCCTGCGTCTCGTTGCAGGTAAGGGAAAAAAAACCAATGGCTGATTGCAGGACTCACACCTACGTTACCTTTCACTACCTCGCGCATCATAACCTGGCTCTGCCAACGACCACCTCTAGGCACAGAGTGAACGGAGCCCAATGCTCGTGTGGTAGTCTCTGTGATAGCTCTAGAGATAGTGAGAGAATCTCTAGAGGCAATACGATTTGCTCAATCAATTACACACCTGTTGCCCAAGATGTCTATGCTCATAGTATGTCGCATGACCCAAGCTGTCCTCCACTATCTTACCACGGCCAAACTAACTACTCTGCTCTCAGTCCAAACATGCGGCTGAGCTTTGCGCTCATGTCGTCAACGATCTGTTTGGCGAATTGCCAGCTGTAAGCTCAACCTCCGCTCCTCAATTCATGAACTGAGACGTCCCGCCGCTTCATCGAGCTTCTCAATGACATGTTGGCTGACCGGCATGATCTCGTCCACAGAGAATCATTGCTGTCCTGCTCAGCAAAGGCAGATCAACCATCCCACAGCTTGTCCGACACACGTCCCTGCCACCGAGGCAAATGCGACACGGCCTTGCCGTCCTTGTGCAACAAAACCTTCTCTACCACCACGCGATTGCTGGATCAAGCGTCGCCAGCTACGAAGCCAACCCCGATGCATGCTACAATCTCGTCCGTTCGGGCAAGATTATAGACATGGTGGGGACAGAATACGGTCTGGCGGAGCAAGAAGTGTTCCAAACAATCATGCAACTGGGCCACGCCAGGGTGTCAGACCTCGTACAGGCATTCGGCTTCCATCCAGATCAGAACGGCGCCAATGGGGGTCATTCCTCAGACGGCAGGCGACGCGCCGGGGCAACAGGTTCCGCACACGTCCAAACACTCCAGGATTTGCACACAACACTTGGTCGCCTGATTATTGCGGAGCTCATCGACCAGGTTGGCCCCAAGACATTTCGAAACATCGAGGACGTGTACCGGGAAATCGAAGAAGATGCTTTGAGAGGAGAACCCGGCGAGAAGTTGACAGCGAAGCATAAGGAAGCGCAACAAGAGACAATCATCTCACGCTGTGTTGCTGCTCGAGAAGAGAGCAAGAAGCTGAAACGTCAGCTAATGCAAACCATGCCGTTCATTGCCAAGCGACGAAAGCTCACCAACGGTGTTCATTCCAACGGCTCCGTCGCCAATGGACATGACCAGGGACTAGGGGTCAGTCGCTTTCGTTCCTCCCAGTTGACTCTCCGACACTCTCTAACACTGCTTTAGCCCGATCTGGTCCTCAAAGTCAACTTTGAGAAGTGCCTGGTCGATCTTCGAAATCAGACCCTCGCGCAATACGCCTCCGATCATATCGGAGAGGTTACGGGACAGGTCTACCACACGCTGCTTCGTCTCTTGTCAGACAAGATTGCGCGGTGCCGCATGGACCCCAGATTTGACCTGGAGCCGGGTGAAGTTGGTGATATCGAGGATGACAACAACAGTCGTCGCAGAGCCAGTCCACAAGTGGCCATGACAGCCTTACAGATTCTAGATGCTCTGGATCCATCCATCTGCGTCGCGGCAGGGGTTGGCAAAGCAGCACGCAAGAAAATCAATCACCGCAATGCCGAAAAAGTCAGGTCAATCCCGAAGCATCTGGTGGAGGAATCGGAGGACTCGGATGACGGAGCCACACTCGGAGGGGACGGTCGCGACGACGACAGCGATGACAATGGCGATTCCGATGACGACGAAGACGGGCCTTCTAGACGAAGACAAAACGGGTCCGGCACTAGGGGCGGAAGGGTCATGTTTGAAGACGAAACGCCGCCGAAGCATTCACGGCTGGATGAGATGCGACAACACCTCCTCCTATTAGCTGAAAGTCCCCAGGGATTCGTGCGGCACTGCGGCACACAAGGCCGTGGTCAGTTTACCGTCGACTTCAAACCGCTGATGGAGTCCCTGCGACAGGTCGAAGTTGATGCCGTCATTGAGCAGACCTTTGGACGGCACGGTCTTCGACTAACCCGTATCCTCCGTGCCAAGGGCAAGCTGGACGAGAAGACGCTGCCGGGCCTCGCACTGATGAAGAAATCCGATGTGCAGGGCAAGATGCTTGCGCTGCAGATGGCCGGATTTGTTGACGTCCAAGAGGTCCCACGCGACAATAGCCGCACGGCAAACAGGACCATGTTCTTCTGGTTCTTCGACGCGACACGCGTCGACAACCAGCTCATGGATGATGTTTATAAAACGATGCTGCGATGCTTACAGACTCTGGATGTCCAAAGACATCGTGAGCGAAACATACTGTCTTTTGTAGACAGGAAAGACGTCAAGGGAAAGGAAGAGGAGGTCATGACGGCCGAGCACTACAACAAGTACAGCCAATTCCTTGATCTCCAAAGCAAGCTTCTTGGTCAAGTCATGCGGTTGGATGAGTTGATCTCTGTGTTCAAGGACTATTAACAGTCTGATGCGGAAACAGACTGTCAGGCATGACGGCTACCTGCGAGTAGCCATGTATACGGTTGCGATGTAGCTTTTTCTACCAAGGAATTCGGTCACTTTTGGGCCGACGGCACGCTTCACGGCGCGCAAGGTGTTTATCGGCGGTTCTCAGAACCCGTATGCCTGCTCAATCATGCAAGGTCATTGCCTCCTGTCACAGGAAGAGCTTGCCAGCGCTGCAGGGGACGACTCTCGTTATAGGGTTGAAGGGAACTACAGGGATAGGTAGCTCGAAAGAGTTGCAAAACATGTCATATTACACGCATTTTGTTGTCGATGTGATAGGTTGCGACTCTAAAACATGCTGATTGCGCATTCCCGAACTCGATTCGCTACTTTCTGGGGAAAGGTATAGATTCGTGAAGCTGTCCATCGAATCGCTTTTACCATCAACATAAACAGTCGACATCATAATGGACGTATTGAGATAAGGCATGATACATCTCTTTCAAGACCTTTCCAGCACTTGGATCAACACGCTTGGGCATCT